GCTGGAAGGAGAACCTGTTGAATGACTGTAGTCTTTCCCTTACTGTGTCAGCACACAGTATTTGGAATTATTTGTTTACACATGCACAGGAAATAAGTGCTCGAATGTGGCTGTTTTACTGACAAATAAAAAACTTCCTATTTTGAAAAGCATCCTTTTTAGCTACTGATGTGCTGGAACTGATTTCCTCATGGGGAAGCATGTGTTAACTCTTAAACTACTTACACACACAACATCAGCATTTATGTTACATATATATAGCATATTTGGAAAAAGAGAAGGAATTTCAGAAGTACTTGGTGTTTCTAAGCTTTCACCTCACATAACAAAATATTTTTAAATACCATCTTTATTTTCAGTTTAATGACAGAGTGGCGTTTTTCTCGAGGAGTGCAGGAACAGACCAAAGCTTTCCTTGATGGTTTCAATGAAGTTGTCCCTCTTCAATGGCTACAGTACTTTGATGAGAAAGAATTGGAGGTGAGGCTCTTTTATTATGCTATTTAGGAAATGTTACTGGGTGGATGAACTGTTTTTGGGCTTCTACAGGAGGATGTCCACACATTTTTAAATGATGTAGCACAATGTAGAATTCTCTTATTCGTGCCGGGGTTCAGGGGGTATTGAAATCCTAGCATGGGGTGATGGTCTTAAGTTCTCTGAACCATGATGATGTCATGGGCACAAAATCATTCAGTGCCCACTGTTAGGGGTCCTGAAGAGTGAGTGTAACCTTACTAATAACTTGGGGAACTTAATGAAATCCTTGTTTACTGGTGAGTTGCCCCAAAGATCCATTCTTAGTGGTCTCAACTGTATTTAGACTTGTTAGAAGTATATCAAAAATTCTTTTCTGGGGGATGGGAGAGAGTAAAATACACATAACAAAATTTACCATTTTGAACATTTCTAAGTGTACAGCTCAGTAATGTTAAGTATACTTACATTATTGTGCAGCCAATCTCAAGGATTAATTTTCATTTTGCAAAACTGAAACTCTATATCCATTAAACAACTCCCCATTTCCCCTTCCCTGGCCCCACCATTCTACTTACTATGAGTTTGACTACTGTTGATATCTCCTGTAAGTGACCTTGTGCAGTATTTGTCTTACTGTGACTGGCTCATTTCACTTAACATAATGTCCTTATAGTTTATCCATATTGTAGCATGTGTAAGAATTTCTTTCCTTTTTAGGGCTGAATAATATTCCATTGTACATATATACCACATTTTGTTTATCCATTCATCAGTCACTGGATATTTGGTTTGCTTCTACCTTTTGGTTATTGTGAATAATACTGCTATGAAGATGGATATATAGATGTGTCTTAGATACCTCTCAGAGACACTGTTCTCAGTTGTTTTGGATATATACCCAGGACTGGTATTACTGGATCATAAAGTAATTCTATATTTAATTATTTGAGGAACTACCACTATTTTCTGCAGTGGCTATACCATATATTGCATTCCCACCAAAAGTGTGCAAGGATTCCAACTTCTCCACATCTTTGCCCACATTTGTTATTTTCTGCTTTGTTTTGTTACTGTAGCCAACCCTAATGGGTGTAATATCCCATTGTGGTTTTGATTCGTATTTCTCTAATGATTAGTTATGGTGAATTCTTGAAGTCTTCTTTCCCCATATGGCTTAGAACATAGGTAGGGCTGTTAGGATATTCCTTGGTATTCTCTGCTTCCTTTGGATGCAGTATCTTAACATTAACCATCTTCAGTTCTCTGTTAAGAAACTTGGTTTGTTCATATAATCAAATGTGCGTATGAAAAATTAGCATTAGAAATTGTATACAATAATTCCTATATAGAAATTAGCCTTCTGGAAACTGACAAGTATATGAAAATCAGAACTCAGGCTGATAATGTAGACTCTATAAATCTGGTTAAAGTCTCTTTCTTTTAACAGCTTGACTGTACAGATTAGCAGAAACACATCAGAAGAACAGAATGGAAGATATTTTTTAGAGTAGTATTAATCTTTTTTTTAATCGCAGACTTCATTAAGAATCTGAAGAAAATAATTTCGTGTTTTCAAAATGCATACACCTAAAATATTCCATACCCCCCATTAAAAGCTCCTATTTTAGGGGCGTCTGGGTGGATTAGTCGTTAAGCGTCTGCCTTTGGCTCAGGCCATGATCCCAGGGTCCTGGGATCGAGCCCCGCTTCAGGCTCCCAGCTCCACGGGAAGCCTGCTTCTCCCTCTCCCACTCCCCCTGCTTGTATTCTCTCTTTCACTGTGTCTCTCTCTGTCAAATAAATAAATAAGATCTTTAAAAAAAACAAAACAACGCTCCTGTTTTAGAGGCCCACCTAGTGAAAGAGGGATGTATGGCCAGAGTCCAGTATTAGAGCATAGATGAAACTAAGACTGTAAAAGGATATGAATAGGCGCATACTTTTATATCGCCTTTGGTAGAGTTTACAGTTGTCTCACACATAGCCCTGTAAAATAGTTGGGCCATATAATAATTTCCTTTTACACATAAGGAGACTAAAGCCCTTATTGGATACTGATTTGCCTTTAGCTCATTGTACAGAGCTGTGAGAAAATATAGGTCTTTTTTGTTGTTGTTTTGCTTTATGTTGTTATTCCTAGTCTGTTGTTCTTTTACTTACATTCATCATCTGTCTTAACCATGAATAATACCACAATAATGGGCATGTATACCATTATTCGAAATAATGGTTATTCATAGTCATGGCCCTCTATAAGTTAAAATCTCTTTAAACTAAGATGTAACAATTTCTTTGTAAAAACTCTCATCACACAAGGAATAGAAGGCAACTTTCTCAGTTTGTTAAAGGGCATCAACAAAAAAAGATGCACCTGACATCATTCTAATTGGTGATACCATGAATATTTCATATTGAGGTTGGGAAGAGGGCAAAGGTGTCTACTATCATCCTTTATATTCCCCATTATACCAGAAAGCCCAGCCAGTGCAGTGAGGCAAAAGCAGAAATAAAAATCATAAAGACTGGAAAGGAGTAAAAAAATGGCCTTTATTCATGGATGATAACATGATCGTCAACCTAGAAAACCTAAGGAACCTACCAAAAAAATCTACTAGAAATAACACTGAATTTAGCCAAGGGTACAGATCGAAGGCCAATAATTTAAAAATCAGGTGTGTATCTTGTGTACCAGCAACACTTGGAAATTGAAATCTTAAAGTTTTATGTACTAAAGCATCCAAAAAATAAATTTAACCAAGAGCATGCAAGAGCTCTATATCTAAAAACACAAAACATGGCTCGGACAATTAAAGACAACTTTAATACATGAAGAAATACATCATGTTATGTATTAGAAGACTCAATATTATAAAATGTCATTTCTCTCCAAACTGATCTGTATATTCAATGCAATTCCAGTCAGCATCCTGGAAGAATTTTTTGTAGAAATTGACGGGCTGATTCTAAAATTACAAGGAAATGCAAAGGTGCTAGATAAGCTAAAACAATTTTTTTTTTCTTTAATTTTTATTTGTCAGAGAGAGAGCCAAGTAGTGGGTGCAGCAGGCAGAGAGAGAAGCAGGTCCCTCCCCCCCGCCCACATGCTTTGAACAAGGAGCCCAGTCCAGGATGCGGGACTCAGTCCCAGAACCCTGGGATCATGACCCGAGCCTAAGGCAGACACTTAACCAATTGAGCCACTCAGGCATCCCACGGTTAATTTTGTTTTATTTATTTTTTAATTTATTTGACAAAGAGACAGCGAGAGAACACAAGCAGGGGGAGCAGTGGAGGGAGAAGCAGACTCCCTGCTGATGTCGGGCTCGATCCCAGGACCCTGGAATCATGACCTGAGCCAAAGGCAGACGCTTAACGACTGAGCCACCCAGGCGCCCCCTCCCCCAACAATTAATTTTAAAAAAGGACAAACTTGGAGGATGTTCACTACCTGATTTCAAAAATTATTATTAAGCCATAGTAATTGAGACACTGTGGTATTTTTGAAAGGATACACAAATAGATCAGTGAAACACTAAGAGTCCAGAAATAGACCCACATATATATTATCATATGTGGGTCTATGATTTTCAACAGAAGGGCTAATATTTTTCAATGGGGAAAGAGAAAGTCTTTTAAACAAATGATGCTGGATCAACTAGATGTCCATATGTTAGAAAATTAACCTTGACTCCTACTTTAGCCCATGAAGAAAGATTAATTTAAAACATAAACGTAAAATATGAAAGCTGAAAAAGGAAACAGTTCTCTTGGGGAGAACACATAACAATTAGCCACACATTATATTATAGATATTATTATATATAATATATATTATATATATAAACTCTTACAACTCAGTAAAGAAAAATTTTCTAGAATGGGCAAAGACTCATAAAGCTATGATGGCAAGTAAACACATGAAACATATTCATTCGTTATTGGGGAAATGCGAATGAAAACTAAATGAAATACCACTTTGGGATAATGTTGGAAGTTTCTTATGTTAAACATATATATCAGCCTCTTATTCCCTAGCAGTTCCACTATTAGGTATTTATTCAAGTGAAATAAAATACATATCTTCATACAAAGATTTTTTTCATAAATGTTCATCACAACTTTATTCCAAACCAGAAATTTGAAAAAACCCCTAAATGACCATTAAGAAGTAAATGGATAGGTACATTATTGTGTAGTCATATAATGAAATACCACTCAGCAATATGAAAGAAACATGGCACCCACAACAATGTGGGTGAATCTCATAAACATTGTGTTGATGGGGGAAGGCAGAGGGTGGAGACAACAGAAAAGATTGTTGATCGTGTACCATATATATGAATGACATTCTCAAAAATTTAATCTGTGATGATATCATTAATCATGTGGAGCCAAAGACGAAGATGGTGTTTTTGACTGCAAAAAAGGGACCTAATGGGAATATTCTACATCTTACATCTTGATTGTGGTGGTGGTTACATAGGTGTATATTATCTGTCAAAACTGATCTAACTCTGTACTTTTTTTTTTTTTTTTTTTTTTTAAAGATTTTATTTATTTATTTGAGAGAGAGAGACAGAGAGAGAGAGCACATGAGAGGGGGGAGGGTCAGAGGGAGAAGCAGACTCCCTGCCGAGCAGGGAGCCCGATGCGGGACTCGATCCTGGGACTCCAGGATCCTGACCTGAGCCGAAGGCAGTCGCTCAACCAACTGAGCCACCCAGGCACCCCTAACTCTGTACTTAAAACACCTGCATGTTATTGCATATAAATTGCAGCTCAACGTTAATTAATGAGAAAGGAAATAAGTATCAGACTATCTCATTATGCCAAAAAGAGCTTTCATCCCATATGTAATACCCTGGGCTTATTTGAAAATTTCACATAGAATATTTTATTCCCAAAGCCTGGAAAAATTAGTAACAGGAATTAGTATATTTTTAACTTTAAATAGAGAAAATGGCATTAGATTAAAAAGAAAAAAGAACCAGAAATTTATGTTTGAAACCTAACAATAATTTGGACACCTAATTTGGGATATATTTTTAGTAAGACATTCTTTTAGCATAGCTAATGGTTTTCTTGAAGAATAGTAACTCCAAGTGCTGTCAGTTTGAGTTCAGTAAATATAAAAGATAAAGTACCAAAGAATGCTTATTCTAAATTGCTACAAATTTTGTTGGATCTGCTTACTGTGATCATTAGTTGTCACGTACCTAGCTGTTCACATAATTAGGCAGGTGCATAGGTATTCATTGGCAAATCTGAGTCATATAGTTATTCTCTTCACTAAGTCTGTACTGTGACCTGCTACTGTGCTCATTTCCCAGGTTATGTTGTGTGGCATGCAGGAGGTTGACTTGGCAGATTGGCAGAGAAATACTGTGTATCGACATTATACAAGAAACAGCAAGCAAATCATTTGGTTTTGGCAGGTATTTGCTTTTATTTTGAAACAAAGGTTCAAAGAATGTTTCCTCATGAGACAGTGGTTTAAAAAACAGTTCATTTTTAAAACTGAAACTGCCTTTGGACATGGTTTTTAGTCTTTGAATTATAAATCAGAAGTTGAATATATGAACATTTATTAAGGGAGTTTCCATTGCTTATTTTGATTGTTTTCCCAAATGGGAGAATGAATGACAGAATCTTCTTTAAGTAGTAGTTTAATGGTAATACTTGTAGTATAGCATATTGTTCCTAGTAGTATCAAAGTATTCTATAAATTCTACTTAATTCTGGAAGTTAAATGAGGAAGCAGGTTTTCTTTGGTTTGTTTGTTTGAGCAAGCTCCATGCCCAACATGGAGCCCAGTGTGGGGCTTAAACCCACGACCCTGAGATCAAGACCTGGGCTGAGATCAAGGACTCTTAACCTTCTGAGCCACCCGGGCGTCCCAGTAGTATGTTTTTTTAGTGAGAAAGTCAATGCAGATACTTAATTCCTCTGAAGGCGATAATATGCTAGGGAATTAGAATAATCTAGAGGACAATGCCCAAGAATGACTTCCTTTTCTTTTTTCTCTCCCTTACTCCCTTTCTTGGTGTTGGTATTTTAGCTTAAACTATAGAATAGAGTGGTCTCATCCAAGTCCTGCATGCTGATCTTGAAGCACATTGTACTGGAGTTTGCATTTTGTGTGTTTGAGAACTTAAAATCTCTAGGCCAGGGATATTCTTCACGAAAATCCAGTAATTGAGACTCATTTGAGCGATTCAGTGACTGAACTTCTGGTTTACGTATGCTGTACTTTCATTTTCAAGTGAAAACTAAGCCTGCTTATTACTAGAGAAAGACTTTCCAGAAGTGGAATCTTTTCATAAGGATATGTGCCATTTATTTATTAATACTTTAAAGAAATGTAGACATTTCTGCAAACTTATCTTATACTTCAACATATGCAAAATGGCACATACTAGATAATTTTTGCACCATTACTGGTATACTAAACAGAGACTCCAAATTCCTAAATGTCCATTGGGAGGAGACTGAGTAAATAAATTACAGAATACCTGTTCTGTAATTCTGTACCTTGTAATCATTCTTTTTTAATGCAAATTAACAAAAATATTGGAGAATGAGATGTTTCAGTATAATTTTAAAGGGAAAAGGAAGGTGTGTATAATGTGCTATTTGGTTAAAAGGAAAATTTATATTCTGTATATTCTAAGTGTCTGCTGGTACAGCTGACCCTTGACCAACAAGGGTTTGAACTGTGCCAGTCTACTTATATGTTGATTTTTTTTTTTAAAGATTTTATTTATTTGACAGAGAGAGACACAGCGAGAGAGGGAACACAAGCAGGGGGAGTGGGAGAGGGAGAAGCAGGCTCCCTGCTGAGCAGGGAGCCCGATGCGGGGCTCGATCCCAGGACCTGGGATCATGACCTGAGCCAAAGGCAGACGCATAGCGACTGAGCCACCCAGGCACCCTATATGTCGATTTTTTTACAGCACTGTACTGTAAATGTATTGTCCTTATGATTTTCTTAGTAACTTTTCTCTACCTTATTTTATTATAAGAATATAGTATATACTATATATACAAAATATGTGTTATTTATGTTATCAGTAAGGCTTCTGATCATCAATAGACCATTACTTAAATTATGGGGAGTCAAAAGTTGTATGTGGATTTCCCTGAGATTCCAACTGCATGCGGGGTCAGCTCCTCTAACCCCTGCGTTGTTCAAGGGCCAAGTGTCTATGAATACGCCATCTTTGAAAAGGTTGAGAAAAAACTGGCCATGAGGTGTGAAAACTCTTGATACTGTACCTTTTACTACCTTTGAATTCTATACTGTGTGCTGTGTGTATCTATTACCTATTATAAAAAACAAGGCGTGACTGGCTGGCTCAGTCGGTAGAGCATGTGACTCTTGATCTCAGGGTCATGAGTTCAAGCCCCACATTGGACATAGAGCTTACAAAAAAATAATAATAATGAATAAAAAATTAAAAAGTAGGGATAAATCAATTTTCAGGCCTAAAATATCTGAATTGCATCACATACAGAAAGTATGCAGGTGTCTGCAATCTTCCTTTCTCAGCTCTTTACTAGCTTCTTCACTCCTTCATGTTCCCTGACTTTCCCTTTGGACATCTGTATCTGTGTACCTGAGGAGCTTGAGCTTAGAGTCATGTAAATCCAAGTGATTAGGAAATGGGTTGGTTTATGCCAGATGTGCTAATCTCTGTTCCTTGTGTCTTGATGAAATGTGTACCTCAGCACGGTTCTATATAGAAATGTTTTTGATCATCATTAGCACTTTTTGTCTTATCCTTAAATTATATTTTTGTTTACTTTTTATAAATTTTTTTTAAGATACACTTCTACTCAGACTGCCCTGTAAGTTCACTTGCCTTCTATACCACCAATTCAAATCTATATTCCACCACATTACACATTTATGTCCCTCTTTGAAAGGATAGTAAATGTACCAAGTATTTTAACAAAATGCATAGTTTAAGTTTTCAAGTACAAAGAATCCAAAGAGTTGAGAAAATAGTATTTAGTGGGAGAAAATGCCGCAAACTATTGAGAATGGGCGATTGGGAAGTGTTCGTTTGTTTTTGGTAGCTTATAGGAGAGAAGGGTAGTTGACTCAGGTCAGGATAACTGGGTTAGAGCTCGACGGGACCTGAGTTCAGATGTTCTGCCACTTAAGCAGTTTGAGAACAACAATCTCTAGTCCTCTGTTTGCTTATATATACAGTAGGGATGCTAATGATAGTATCTATCTGTAGGTATTATTGTAAGTGCTAAACACACACAGAGCATATGGCACAGGCCTTGGCAGGAGCCCTAAACCAGTGATAGCTGTAATATTGTAGCCGATCAACATGTTACCTTTTGGTGGTATGACCTTTTGAAGCCTCCCATGTTCCTCTGCATAAAATGGATGTAATAATAGTAGTGGCCGACCAGTGGTATGCTTGTGCGGATTAACTGAACATTCGTGGTGTACTTAACATATGCCTAACCTGAATAAATTCTTGAAGAAATTTAAGAATAATTTAAGTATCCACTGTTTTAAGTACTAGAGATAATTTAGTATTGATATTAAAGTAAATTTGATTTTGTTACACAGTTTGTGAAGGAGACAGACAATGAAGTAAGGATGCGACTATTACAGTTTGTCACCGGAACCTGCCGTTTACCTCTAGGAGGATTTGCTGAGCTCATGGGTAAATGCAGTTTTACTGCAGTTTCTCTGTAGATAATTTTGTGATAATAATGGCCTTTAGACACACAATAGACTTGAATCTAAGGATTATTCTTCTGTGCTCTCTACACGGTATCTACCAGAAGAAAGACTAATTAATGGTTAATATCAAGTCCATTTGTAAGACAAAAATGGAAGCCGCTTACATTGTCTGGTTGGCCATTGCTTTGCTCCTTCGGGTGATTGTGAAGGGAGCAAAATTCTTTAGAGCTACTTCTCTTTCCACTGATTTAATTCTTATTGCTGGATTTCTGCAGCAATAAGAACCTTCTCTAGGCAGAAGTGATTTACATTGTATTCTGTATTAGTCATAGGACTATGTGACATGTTCTGTTATATAACTAGTTGTCAAAACCAAAAAGTTTGAAGAACCAGATAAATTTTGTCTTATCTTCCTGGTTTAGGAAGTAATGGGCCTCAAAAATTTTGCATTGAAAAAGTTGGCAAAGACACCTGGTTACCAAGAAGCCACACGTGGTAAGTTCAAGAATCCTAAATAGGAAGGTGAAGGCCAGAAAATCTTTTTTTTTTTTTTTTTTTTTTAATATGTAAGATCCAGTATAAGTTCTTACTTATCAAAGTAGCTAGAATTTCAGTTTTTAGAACAGACTAATATGGCACCCTAACTTTGGAATGATTTCTACTTGGTTACTATACTAAGAAATGTATCCATTGATTAAACAATTATTTAGAATAACCAGTATGTATAAAATAAGACTGAAGTGCTCCCTGCCTTTTTATGTAGTTTGCACTCCATTGGGAGAAAGGAACACAAATGACAAACAAGTCAACTATTTGAATACTAAGAAGGTCCTTCAAAGGAAATAAAGAGGGTGTTGTAAAAAAGAACTAGAGGGAACCTCCTAGATTGTGTGGTCAGGGAGATTTCTCAGAAAAGATAATGTTTGAGTTTGATAAATAGCATGGTGCAGGAAGAAACAGGAAAAGTGCATTCCAAAGACCTTAAAGTAAGAAATTGTTTTTCAAGGAAATGAAAGATGACTGGTGTGACTGGCAGTTAGTCAATGAGGGGAGACAGGGATAAAAAGAATTTGGAAATGTAGGCAGGGGTTAAATTATGTAGAGCCTTGTAGGCGATTATAAGGAACTTAGATTTCACTCTAAGGGCAATTAGAAGCTTTTGAAGAGTCTTAAATAGAAACTAATGAGATTCAGGAAAAATCACTCTGGCAACAGAGGAGGGAGGAATTAGATTCAAGACTGAAGGCAGGGAGATTAGTTACCAGAACTGTTAAGAGTCATCCAGGCAAAACATGGTAGCTTAGGAGGTACATGGTTCTTTCAGGAGGTCAGAACTATTTTCATACTAAGCAGTAATTTGCCTTTTTATTGTTTTGATACTTGCACTTAAGAGTGCAAAAGCAATGGTGGGTAAAACTGCTGGTGCCTCAGCAAAAATCAAGGCAGTGGCACCAGAATGCTGTCTCCATTCTTCAATACCGCACACCTGCAGTTCAAAGCAAAGCAGTGGTGGGCGGGGCGGGGGGAGCCAGTTTCTTTCAAAATTGTTCTTTATGAAGCAGTAAAAAAATTATTAAATCTTGATGCTTGAGTATGTATCTTTTTAAAATTCTGTAAGACAAAATGGGAAGCCTGCATAAAGCACTTCCACACATACCAGAGGAATTGTGGTTGTCTGGAGGGGAAAGCCAGCAGTTGAGTTGAAAGCTGAACCAGCTTGCTTTTTTAATGGAACGCTGTTTTTACTTGAAAGCATGACTGACAAACTGTTTACTTGGCAGGCATTTTCTTGAAAAGTAACGAAGTAAGCTTATCACTTCAAGGTAAACAGCTGACAGCATTTGTTGGCAATTATGAAAATTGAGGTTTCGGGTAAAAATTCAAATTTGAGAAAGCTTGTATGTACCAACCACCATGAGCTTGAAAGCTTCCCAAAACTTTTCTGATGAGATTGGTGGTATTTAACCAATGCAGTTTTTTTTCTATTACATAATTAACTGTGTCAACATTTGGAAATACTTTGTAACCTAGTGAACCATTATTTCCAAATGACCAATGCATGTTACAAAATCATGCATGGGTAAAAGATCTATTCAGAGTACAAGATAAACCACTGGGTTTTATAAGAAGGTAGAAAAAGTTCCTTGATTTCAGAACTCCTATTATGTGTTACCTTGTCAAACTTAATATGTATTTAAGAATAATAGCCACAGTTACCTGAAAAAAAATGACTACAGTACATCTGTTTTCTAACTGCGTATCTGTGTGGGAACAGATTTTCCTATACTTAATACAGTGCAACAAAATAAATGCACAGATAAAGTGTGAAAAGGGATCATAACCAAAAAAATTTGAGAACACCAGCCTAGAATAGATTAGTAAACAAGAGAGACTGTTGAGGCAGGGGAGAGGTTCATAGCCAGAGGAGATAGTTCTTCAAGAAAGACGAAAAGAACTGGGATGCTGAGTGCAAGCTAAGAAATTGGCCTTTGATAAAAACAAGAACACTTCCTTTGTTGTAATAGGAGAGGAAGAAAGGTTTAATGTAAACTATAGAGTTATCACTGTAGGTTTCTGTTTTCTCAAAGTATAAGGTGAGGTCACTGGCTAAGAATGAAGAAAGTAAAAACTTCTGAAGAGAAAGAAAGCTGTCAGAGTAGCCAAGTATTTACTAGCAAACTATAGCTAAGAATGCTGCACAATATTGGACTGCCTACTTGGATCTTTATAAGTGACACCACCTGTCTAGTTGTAGGATTCTCCCCTCCAGTAATTTTCAGCTGTTAAGGTCTGAGGAATGAAAAACTAGAAGGCTGAATTCATTCAGCGTTTGAGTTTTGATTAGTAAGTTCAAAAGAGGGAGAGGCAGGGATGTAAAAGTATTTCCCAAGGTAGTGGTTATAAGGCTGGGCTGTGGATTAAGTACAAAGTAAAGATAGGAAGAATCTGAGGACAGGCTAGGATGGTGAGAAAGTTATAGGTTGCCATTTTAATTGAAGGAAGCTGGAAACAGAATAGTTTTTTAATTAAAAATTTCCTTTACTGGTGATGATAGGGTTCAAGGTGTTAGCTTGAAGTCAGGAACTGGAGTAGAGGAACAGGTCACTAAAGATGAGAACTGGAAGGCCATGCATGGCTGTTGCATATCATCCAAGTGAATGAGAGGAGGACATGAACCAGGTGTCAAAGCTTTCAGTGAATGAAAGGAATATGACCAAGAAATCAACAGGATAGCAAAAAGTTCAGAAAGAAGGTTGCATAGCTAGATTGTGCCTCAGAGGAGAGTTTTGTTGACTGGCCGCAGGGGAAATGGTATGTTTCAGACTAGCTGGATTTTTAGCTAAGGCAAGAGAGGAGTTATTCAGACTGTAGAAAACTGCAAGTCATAAAATAGAAGTTTGGAAGAATGGAGTGTCTGAGGTGGAGGACAGGGAAGAGGTAGGGATTTAATTCAGATCAGTGGAATTACAGTTATGATCCAGAGACACTTGAGTTTTTAGTAGTGACGAAGGTAGGCAGTGCTGCAGTCTATGGTGAAAGTCGTCTTGCTAAGTCTCAGATGGAGTTGTGCTGTCATCTCCAATGTTTTGCTTTTTGAGGTGGCGACTTTGAGTAGGGGTTCCTCAGGCTATATACAGTGGTACAGCAAGCCAACAGGGTACTGTTCCCTTAGTCCATTGGAAAGGTATTAGTATCTTCCCTTTAGATAGATAGAAAGTAAAGTAGCAAATCTGACTCAAAGCTGGAACTGAAACAAAAGCTAAACTAAAACTTAAAACAGTATTCTGATATCCACATAGTAAGTACTCAGAGATGAATAGATTTTAGTACGTCTCCATCCTTTGGCTAATGTCTTAAAACAGAACCCTGTTTTGGATGTTTTCAGATAATCTACTTTTTTATGTAGTTCAGCTCAACATTTTACTAAATGGGTTAGGAGAGTAGGGAAGACTGCCCCTCATGGGTTTTAGAACCTAATGGAAGAAACCAGTCAGTCATAATACAGAGTAAAGTAAATGCCAAAGGAGAAATAAAAGTAACTTATGGAAAGGAGAATTAAGTCTATATTAAAGACGCTCAAGGAAAATTCTTGGATGGAAAGAAGGAAGTTGTAGCATTTGGACTGATTCTTAGAAAAGGTATTCCACATTATGAGAGAGTAGAACATGTCATAAGACAAAAGTGTGTCTTTTGTCTAATGTTCTTGGAGAACATTAAATAAGTTGATACGGGGCTATACCAAACAACATGGGAAGCTTCCTTACCCCACACCTTCAATCCATAGGAATTAGAAGCAGCAAAGCTTAGGTTTTTTTTTTTTTAATGGAACACTTCACGTGTCCTCCTGGGGCAGGGGCCATGCTAATCTCTATCATTCCAATTTTAGTATATGTGCTGCCAAAGCGAGCACAGCAAAGGTTTTTTTAAACTGGCATGTCTTTTGAGGAAAGTATCTCTGGCAGTGATAGAAGGCTAGAGATTCAGTAGAAAGAATGACAGAATTTGAGGAGGCTTTATATAAAAGATGTAAGAACTAGAAAGTTGACAGATTGTTAGATATTTTCTTGACCTCTGCTATCAGTGTACTTTGAAGCATGAAGTGGGGGGAGCAGAGAAGGTACGTACACGGTCTGCTTAATTGCTACCATTTAATATATTTAACTTTTCATACAAAGAAAATAAAATGGTCCGAGAAGAACACCATTTTAATTGGCTGCCTTGTTTCAAAAGGTTCTTATCAGGTTTCCTGACTCTTACACAGGAGTTGGGACAAGGGCAGATGGGATGGGGTGGTAGGAGGGAACCTGGATAATCTAGAACTTTCCATATAAGAAAATGAAAATACAGAACAGTTTTAACTACATTAGAGCTGTTTTACTAGACACTTAGAGTGGGGACTGGACCCCCCACCCCTACCCCGCCAACCCCCATCCAGTTGAACTCAGCACAGGGAATTCTTTGAGTCTGGCAGGAATGAAAAGACAAAAGTATGTATTTGTTGGCGCTCTCTACCCCAGAATATAAGTTCTATGAGGACAGGGACTGTAGTTTTTCCTCACTTTATCACTAGCTCCCAGAAAAATATCTAATAGATTCTTAATAACTGGTAAGTGAATGAAAGAAATGGACTCTTAAAAACCCAAGAGAAAGTTAGGGGGACTTGTGACAACTTGTAATTCCAGTTTTCTCTGGGAAATGTTAAAATATTTTTATGAGCAAGTCTTCATTTCAGTAGCTTGCCGTAAGAAATCTGTATGTGTTAGTATTAAATAATATAATAGTAAATTGTTATAATACTTCTGGCAAAATTTTTGTCTTCCTCTATCCATTTAGTTTTTCAAATGTGCTTTAAGAAATATTGTATTAGAAATCTGTTTAGAGTTTGTTTTATTGAAAACACATCTGTTTCTGTTTTTGTTCAGTTTTAATCGCTTGGATCTACCACCATATAAGAGTTATGAACAACTAAAGGAAAAACTTCTTTTTGCAATAGAAGAGACAGAGGGATTTGGACAAGAATGAATGTGGCTTCTTGTCTTGGAGGAGCTCTTGCATTTAAATACCCCAGCCAAGAAAAATTGCACAGATAGTGTATAGAAGCTGTTCATTCTGTACAGTGAATTTTCTGAACCTCTCAAAGTATAAATGTTTTCCGTTCTTCCACAGAAATATGCAAAACAGTTCATCCTTTTCTACTTTATTTATTGTTCCCTTGAAGTGACTGACCAGGAAAAAGATCATCCTTAAATTTTGAAGCAAGCAAGAGACTTTATTAAAAATAAGTATATATCTATATAAGCATATATGATAGTGGCTCTAGTTTTATAGAGCTCTGAGTATATTAAACATGACAGCCGTTCATTCAAAAAAAAAAAATCTGGATTTGCTTTACCTTGTTTCTAGTATCCAGAGGAAAAAGTACAAATTGCTTCATGATCTTCTCCCTTATGTAACACCTTTTGAGGGTGTTTAGTTGCATGGCTGTTCAGGAAGGTATTAAGGGCTTAGGCCAAATCTTACTTTGAGTATGTTAAAAAATGCTGCTGGCTTTTCTGAAGACAGGCATTTGAACCTGTCAGTTCGTTTTAAATAAATACAATAGTTGAAAATTTTCCCTCTTTGCTACATCACTAATACAGTCAAAGTAATGAATGAAACCATAACGTACGCATAAGTCATACACTATAGCCGATGCCATTTAGTTTATTCTAGAGATTGGAAAGAATTCATTAAGCAGCAAAGAGGTTTGTTTGTTTACATGTTACTTTGGGATGCTAGGTATTTGTGGAGTTAAAAAGAATCAGGTACTTACGTACTTTTGTTTTTAAATCTGTGCTGTTCTTTAAATTTAATTCATAATAAATTGATGCAGTTTGATACTTAGGAACATATAATAAGGTAATGTGAACATTTCTGCTTTTGTGTTCAGAGTTTTGGTTTTATAAAACCAGATGGACTGAAGAGTTGTATAAGCATTTGAACACTCAAATGAAAACTATTTTCTATTTTAGTGTTCATGTATCTTCATTCCTCTTAATTTCATGAAAATTTTATGATCTGAACTATATAAGCATACTAAAGAATCTTTTGGTCCCCACCCCCCCTTTTTACATAGATCAAAACATTATTTTTGTCCTAATAACTTTTTTAATTTTTCATTATCAAGGGCATTTGCTGAACTCGAAGATGTATAACAAATTAAAATCTGATGTGAATGATATTAATGCTATTTTAGCAAACTGGGCTTCCTTGTTAATAACAAAAATTTCAATTTCCATTTGTATCATTTCAGTATGCAGTGTAAATTTCAGGAAGTTAAAATTTTTTTTATAACCATGAACTGACATCTTACAATGTTATCTGTAACATATTTAACTGCTAAGTACATATGGAAAATACTAGTATACAATTTAATTTCCCTAAACAGTTTTTGTTTTGCCAAAATTTTATTTTTCTACATATTAGATTGTGTTCTGCACTTCTATTCAAAGTTCATAGTAAAGATGAAATAAAGGCAGTGATCCACTATGTTGAATAGACTCTTTTCCCAAATCCTAATCTGACACTGGGCTATCTTGAAACATAAAGAATTAAAAATAAGTACTAATGTATATGACATTATGTGATAGAGGGTGACCAATCTTCAAAAGGGCTAAATTATGCCATAGAAAGCACCACTGCTCAATAAATTTTGCCATGACATGACAGAGGTTATTGATGAACATCATTCAGTGGAGGTGAGAATGTGAGAATACCATTTAGCAGATCTGACCGAAGACAAGAGGCTTTCAGGGTGCCGATCCTCTCTCCTCCCTTCAGGTAAGAAATTATTCTATACCAGTTGAGGCTACACAGAACCTACAGAGACCAAACCAGCTTTCTGAAGAAGGCTATTTTGGAGAACTCAGGGCCTTCCACATTTCAAACCCAAGACAGAAAACCAGGCCTACAGGCAGGATTTATTATGTCTTAATTCATATACTCAGGTGGCAATGAGAAACCAAGGATGTGGGCTACCTCTCACCTTCTCTCCTCTTTTCCCATCCTTGTCCTGTGCTGGGCTAGACAGGCTCACTATGCCTGAAATGAAGAGACAGGCAAAGAATGAGGCTCAGAGACAGATTCATACTGTTATTTCATTTCAGTGACACTCACCACCACCAAACTGAGCCCAATGAATGGGTAACAGGCACAACATAATTTGATTTCATAATTTCAAAAAAACTGGTGTGTTTTTGCTTCTTCTTTGTTGTAATGATGCTTATTTTACAGATAAGTGAGTCATTTTTACAAAGTCCAGAGCTAGTTCACAGTCTATGATTAAACGCTCAGTTGGGAAAATTTTGCTAATAAGTTAACTGAGAGCTTTCAGATTTTTTATAGTGTAGCCACTTTCCAAATCCAGATTTATTCTCAATCCTCAAAGGAAGTAAACATATCTACAAGGTGAGGTAATTATTATCACCAATGGGTGATTATAATTATATATATAATTATACAAACATCCATATGTTTACAAGACAGACTACTACAAACTTCTGTTCACATGCATGTGGGGAAATAAGCGTCTCAAACTAGCGGTCATATCTGGAACACAACAGTTAAGTAGGGACTGCACAGGAGAATAATGGGGTCCTAGGGTTTGTTCCCAGAAGTAATAGGTCTCACTGTGAGTGAGGAAATGCCACCAACCAGTGTAAGACCTGGTGAATCAGACTCCTGGGAATTCAAAAGGAAGAGACAAAGTGCAGACAATCAGAATCTTAGGAATGTACCACATCTTGGAGAAGGGAGCTAGCTATCCCTTAGTTTAAAAGGGGAAAAAAGGGAAAATAACAGCTCTATAAATTGGACGTTGATATAACCTGTACCCAATGTGCATAGGAGTCAAAGACTGGAACAGCTTAAATGACCTTCAGTGAATGGTTAAATAAACAGGTACACTAATACAGTGAAATATAATCAGCAGTACAAAGGAATCAACTACTGACTATATTTAGATGGATCTCAAAGGAATTAGGTCAGATGAAAAAGGCCAGTTCTCAAAAGGTCACATAATCTGATTCCATTTATTTAACATTCCTGAAATTAGTGGTTACTAGGATTAGGGATGGTGGTAGGGAGGGAAAGTGGATGGGTGTGACCACAAAGGGATAGCCCTAGGGATATATGTGATTTGGTGGAACAGCTATATCTTGATTGTAGTGGCAGTTAAAAAAACCTACATGTGACAAAATTACATAGAACACACACACACACAAGTGAGAGCATTTAGAAGTAAAATCTGAGTAAGATCTATGGGTTATACCAATTACCTGGTTTTGATATTGTACTGTAGTTACAGGTTTACCTCTGGGATCTCTACCTTTTTTTCCCCAACTTCCTATGAATCTATAATGATTTCAAAGCAAAAAAGATTTTTTAAAGCACTATAAAATATCAGAAGACAGATCCTACCCATAAAAGGCTTTATTACTGAAAGATACCTCATTTCACAAAAACTACTTCATAGAGATTATTCTTGAACAAATCCAAACCCTTCACTTCCCATTTGATTACCTGGTACTGCTGGTAATGCAAAACACACATACAAAAATCACCAGAAAATATTGAAAGTCACTCTACAGAGAAAATTAAAAAGGAGAAAATTTCAGATGGATGAAGATGCTCAAAACAGAAAAAAACTGTTATTAACACAATATACTAATGAGTTAAGTGTAAATATAGATACCAAAAAAAAAAATCAAATTAGAAATTCAAAAACTCAGAACTGGACAAACTACATGAAAATGTGAAATGCCTGCTGAATGAAATCAGGAAAAAAAAATGGAAGAAAAAGACAAACATCTCAAAATTGAAGACAAAATGTATCTGAGGAAGAAAATCAAAAGTAAGGGACATGGAAGACAAATTCAAAGAGCCAAGAAAATGAAAGAGGTAAAAAGAAAAATCAGAGAAATGATAAAAAATTAGGCAAAGAAGATTTAACATACATAGAAGTAAACAGAGTCACTGAAAATAAGATGGAACAGTGTTTCTCAAAGTGGGGTAAGGCAAATCTGGTATGAGGGACAATCTAAGATAATTGCACTGGCCTCTTCAAAAAGTCAATGAATGGTGGGATTTAAAAAAAAAAAAAGATGGAAGAACTCTTCTAGATTTTTAAAAACTAAGGCAGAAAATCAAATATAATATATGACTGATTGGATCCTGGTTTTTAAAAGTGTAAGACATTCCTGGGACATCTGAGAAAATACGAATATGGCTGGTATTAGAGATGATTTTAAAAAATTACTGTTACCTTTTTGTTGTACTAACGGGTTTTTGTTTAGAAGGATGTCCTTATTCTGAGACCATGCATGCTGAAATATTTAGGGATGAAGTATGTTGCCTACAATTTCAGAAGTTTAGAAATAACATATATATGAAAATATACACACATAACAGTAAAATATAGCAGATTAGCAATTGGAGATGAGTCCAGGACTTTGTTTTCCTTTTTGTTTGAAAATATACGTGATAACAGAAACAGCCCACACCCGCTCAGTTCACTGTTAACATTACGATTCCCAAATCCTTTGGGGAAAACCCACCTATGCATGCACTCTTGATTTATCTAAGTGACATTCAAGATAATCCTTTTTATAAAAGTTCTGCAGTGGTGGCATCCCAGCCTCAAGTAATACCGTCCTGCCTATTTAAAACATCTTCATTTCTATTTCACCCTTTAATTCTGTGTTCCTTTCACCATTATTAGGGAAGAGAATTGGGCTTTGTCTAGTGACAAAATCAATCCTCCACTTGTGAGACTATGTCACATTAAAAAAAAAAAAAAAAATCACTCCATTTTCTGTCCTCTCCTGACAAGGTTTTTCCTTATGCAGGTTGGTTCCAAGATCCATCACTTAACAACTTTATACCAAGAACCCTCAACATCCTAACAACCTAATTTTCACTGCACCTTCTCTGCAAGATTTCAACTTTGCATCAGTCCAATTTGACAATGCACACCCCCAATGAAACCTCTTCCACAAAGCTTTTTCTTGATCTCCCATTCTGCTGTGATCCATCCTCCTTAGAAATCTTATACCACTTTGTATTGCTGGTGTCCTAAATGTGCAATATCTCTGCCTCTGAGCCAGGGAGAAGTTTCTACCAATCTTTTTGTAATTATTTCTTTTGTTATCTGTGAAGAAACTTAGAATTTTGTATATTTAATTTGTTAAATGGTTACATTAAAGGAACTGAGAAAAGAGCCATAGAACAGTTACTGTTTATGTATTATCTTTGTAATTTGATGAAAAGGCAATGTTTCTTAGATATTTCATGTGCTTTCTTCTCTGAAAAATTCTCAATTCTTATCACTGAAACCTGTAAGCAACTGAGCAGCTTCTGTCTGTATCTAAAATGGAAAAACACATGTTATAAATAAATAGTACAGTATAGCTATCAACTTGCAAAATCTAATAAGTTCATAAAGTGGGCTGTGGTTTCTAAGCGTCCCCAAAAACCAGGGTAGCACATTGTAAAAATAAAACTGAACAGGGACTGGGTAAGACTCTTAGAGAATTCTTCCACATTACTACACATCGTTTGCCTTTTATTTTAGAAATCTTATTTGATCTGTCATGTATGTCAAACAGGAATAAGGCAGCAAGTAATTCATAACATCTGTTGACAGTAACTAAACACTTGCTATACGGAAATTAACAGAAATGTTAATGAGTTTAATTTGAAATGCACACTACTGTTTTCAACAATATACATTTAGACAAATTATACTTTTAAAGAAGTTCTTAATTCACCTTTATTTAATAGTGCGCCTCAGAAACCTATCTGCCTTAATTTATTGGGAGATACCTCACCTGTTTATCCTCCTCTGTGTGTGCTGGATAGTCCTTGGCTTTCATTAGCCAGAAGGCAGCAAGCTTTTTATTGTGTAACTTCAAATATGTCTTTCCTAAAAGAAGCAAGTTTTTGCTGTAGAAGTTTGGATCCACTGTACATAAAAAAGAAAAATTTATTTCAGATGAAACAGAACTGTTTTTATTTTTAAAGGCTCAGTTTCTTCAGTCTAAATTCTAATAATAAATTTGTGGTCAATATAAGATTAGGCTAACTAAAATTCTCTTTTGTTCAACTATTACAATCTCAAAAAAATATTGGTAAAGTACCATTTATTCAGTGCTATGTGCTAGGCATTCTATTACATTTCTCATTTTCATACAATTTTATAAAATAGGTACTCCATTTAATAGATGAGAATCTGAGGTTCCTGGTAGAATGTATGCTCTATAAGGATAGGGATTCTCTTTTTATTAATGTCTTTTATTCCCTGATATATCCTAAGTACCTAGAACATAACATGCACCCAATACATATATGCTGTATGAATGAACGAAATCATGATATATATGCATTTGACCTTTAACCCAGTTTTGAACCGTGCAGGTCCAAATAAATGCAGAGTTGTTTTTTTTTTTTCCCATAAATACAGTAAAGTGCTGTAATTGTATTTTCTCTTATTAACATTTTCTCTAGCTTACTGTATTGTTGGAATACAGTTTATAATACATAGAACATACAAAATACATTTTATTTTAAACAACTGTTTATGTTATCAGTATTATGCTCCGGTCAATAGTAGACTACGTAAGTAGTTAACTTTTAGGGGAGCCAAAAGTTAATTATATGCAGATTCTCAACTATGCAGGGGGTCGGGACCCCTACCCCCTCATTGTTTAAGGGTCAAGTGTACATACATACATTTGATTAACATTTACTGTATGTGGGTTATACTCAAATACAGATTTAACAAAGACTGTTCTTTCGGAATTTGTAATGAAGAGGAGAGGTAAACAAGCATAACTAAATGTAAAAGAAGAATGATAGAAATGCTTTGACAGGTGTACACATTTTAAAGTACACATTTATGAGAAAACAGAGAAACTAAGAAGTTACATCTGGGCTGCCTTGGCGGCTGAACAGGATTTTAACAGAAAAGTGGAGAACATTCTTGGCTCAGGGAAAACTGAACAAAAAGCCTATGAAAGCATGGGACTGTCTCACTAACTTCATTCTTTATACAGATTCCTATCATCAACCTGGGACCTTCTATATTTAAAGCACACTTTTCCCTGGGTATAATTTATGGTTAACTCCATTTGCTTCTTAACCCAAAATTGTTTTACTTCTTTAATTTGAACATATTTATGAGATGTTGTGTAGATGTACTTAAAGTTTCCTTGGGGTTCATCCATGCATCTGTTTATTCAGTAATTCAGCAAATTTGATAGCGTTATGCTAAGCACTGAGGAACAAATTGTGAACAAAATGACAAAGCCTGCATCATTCCTGAACTTAGTCTTAGACATGTAAACAATACTCACAACTCACATACTCATACTATGGAGTGATAAGGGCTATGATGGGGGAAGTAACAGGTACTAAGAGCCTAGGAGGAGCTTCTAAACCAGATATGGTCCATAAAAAAAGACCGCCTGGAGGAACTGACCTATAGGGTAAAAACCTGGAGGATGACTGGAGTTAACTGACCATGTTTTTCTCAACACCCCAAACGCTTAATTCTCTAAGGCCCTATTTTTACTTTGCAGTTATGCTCCTAAATCCCTTTGAGGAAACTTTATTCCCAGATTCATATTCATGATATAAAAACTACTATCACAACAGGTTAGCAGTGGAAGGCAGTAACAGAGCAAATCAGAATATTACTGACATAGTTTAACATTCAGACATAATTCTTTAGAAGAAATTAAAAAAAAAAAATTTTTTTGCTATCCTAAAAACATCTCAACAAATCCGTATGAGTAGGCTCTCTAATACATAGTCTTTAATTTTCATCTAATTTTATAGAAATAGAATTGCAATGGTTTTCTTTTGGTGTATTTGGTAACATATGCTTATGTCCTTTACTCTTCTAGTTTGTGCTATTAATATTAAAAAGGATGAACTTGGGATGGGCTGGTGTCAGTTTTGTAGACTGGCCATTTCTTCAAAGCCAGGGTGACATGAAACTCTTCATAAAAGAAGACAATATTTGCAACAAAGCAAAAACTGGCCTGGTTTAAAAACAAGATCTCTCATTTAAATGCTTTTTGAAGAGAAAGGGTAAATCTTAGAAAAAAAATTTTTTTTAAATGTAATGTGACAGGTATTAACTACTATTATAACCATTTTACAACATATGCAAATATTGAATCCTTATGCTATACACCTGAAACTACTGTTATGTCAATTATAATATATACCTCAAAAAAATTTTTTAAACATTTAAATAAATGTTTCTAATCAGCTGTGTAATCTTAAATAAGACCATTAACTTGTCAAAGCCTCCTCTCAAAAAAGAAAATTGAATAATATCAAATAAAGGACCATTCCAGAACTGTAGCTCTAAATTCAGTAGCAGCCCACTTCTTACTCTGGTGATTTTTACTGAATAAAGACAAAAAACTGATAATCTCTAGTGCAAAAAGAAGTATATTAGAATAAGTAACATTTTTGTTTTAAAAATTCCTATTATATCGGGGCGCCTGTATGGCTCAGTCAGTTGAGCGTCTGCTTCGGTTTAGGCCATGATCCTGGGATCAAGCCCCACATCAGGCTCCCTGCTCAGTGGGGAGTCTGCTTCTCCCTCTGCCTCCCCCCACTTGTGCTCATACTCTCGCTCAAATAAATAAAAATAAAAATAAAAATTCCTATTATATATAAAGCATTCACACAATTTTAAGTACACTAGTATGTGAAATAGAAAAATGTTACCTTGCTCTGCCCTGTGAAAGTAGCCTAATGCCTGTTAAAAACACAAAGAGCCCAAACATAATGAAAAGGGTTATAACAGAATCAATATTAAAAAAACATTTCCTCAAAAGTCAGGAAGTAAATTAAAACATCTTAAAGGTCAATTCATCAACAGTGTAAGTTAACACAGCAAAATTGAACATTATTAAATCATCAGAGCACAGATTACAGTGTATGGACCACTTCTAGTAATAACTTGATTGCTGTTTAGAACTTGTACCAAACCAGCATCAAGTGCAGAAAGGAAAGAACATTATCACATGCAACTCAGCTATTTTGATCCTTCTCTTCTTAAGTCATAAGTCACTACCCATAAAAACCTGATAAAATCAAAAGCTAAATTTACTCAGTGATACATAGGTTGTACCAATAAATTTTTTAAAAGTCCTTTATTATTGAAATTCCAACATAGAATGTTATTGTGAGTCTGAAACTCTTAGTTCCTTTTTTTCCCATTTAAGCTGTTTTTATAATGTCTGGTTTCCTAGGAACATAACTAATTTGTTATAGTAGAGCTGACTGACTGTATCTTTTTTCCTTAAAATACATTCTTTTAATAACAATATATATTTCCCAACTGTGTTCTGATTATTCAGCTAAATATTTTTGTATCAAATTCTACACCATAGCCTGCCAGAAGGAAAAAATAGCTCCTTGTCATGACACAGGTACTAGGAAAGCTTTTTCAACGGCCTTATTTCCTTACTCTGAAAATTTTAGTGGTGTAAGTTACTCAAAATGTTTGCCCAGAAATCCCTTCCAAATTTTATTTTCAACAAGGAAGCAAAAGGCCTTGAAAATATAAGAGTATAAGCCTTTCAACCCCACTTTCTAAAAAAGTTATAATTATTCTTCCTTTATCTATACAAATACATGATTTTCCAGGTAAATAACTGTTAGTGTGTAGAACACATATGTAAAACTAATGCTATTAGTTGTTGAATTTCTTATTCTATTTTATGACTTTTATATGGTGTAGATTTCAAACAGAAAACAATGGCAGATTTTAGGCATGAGCTATTATTATAGCCGACAATATACCAGAATCATCAGACACTCACCTAAATTAAAAAAAAAAAACCACTCACCAGTCATAGATTATAAGTATTAAGCCTTTGTGATAAGATAGCTGCACTGGATGGTTAGAAACGTGCTCAAAGGCGTCACTGCCCAAAGCTCCAGATCTGAACACCGCAGAATGGCACTGCAGTTAAGAAATCAGTACTAGCTTAACAAAGGACAGCACACTACCTCCTCATAGGTGGAACTAGGAGGAGTTGCAAACAGCATTTTAGCAATTCTTCTTTGATACCAAGGCATTTCAGCAAATGTGTAACACCTATAAAGAAATAACATATACATCTCAATTGCACCTTTTTTTCTCTTACAGAAAACTAAGCATCTTAACAGATATAAAAGGTATCTTCTTCTGTTGTACCTTGAAACACTTTGCACTTTACATAATATCCAGCAGGTTAATATTCCCACTGAATTATCTAGAGAATGATTTATATTGATCCATCAATTAGGATGTATCCTGTGATTAAAGTAATAAGCAACAATACTAGTAATGATTAACAGTATATATCATTCATCACTAAGTGCTCACTCTGTTCCAGGTGCTCAGTGATTATCTCTCATCTACTCCTTACAAGGAACTAAATGATTAGGATCATTACCCCTATTTTTTCCAGTAAGAAAAACTAACTCAGAGAAGTTTAAAAAAATGACAGAACTAAACATGATATGTATAAATAACAATGGCAAACAACAATTTAAGTCTGCCTATATAAAAGAGTGAGGCAAATGATTAACATCCAAAGATCTTGACAACTTTCTGATCTAGGTAGGGGTACTGCATCTTTGACTAGGGTCTGAACTCCCTGAGGTAGCCATTGTATCTTATTCGTGTGTCCTCCCTAGCACTGTCTCTCCATTATATTAGTTCTCAGTAAGCATTTTGTTAGTTTAATATCGTCCTTTGTCTTGAAGGATATTTAACTCCTTTTTAAGAATCTGATATAGGGCTGTCTACGCCATTTATTTTTAAGACAATAAAATATTCAGGTCTGCAGACTACACCCAAAGAAAATAGCAGCAAACCTGTCTCAAGAAAGACTCTTAAGGGGCGCCTGGGTGTCTCAGTCCGTTAAGTGTCTGCCTTCGGCTCAGGTCATGATCCTAGGGGTCCTGGGATCAAGCCCCGCATTGGGCTCCCTGCTCAGCAGGGAGTCTGCTTCTCCCCCTGCTTGTGCTCTCTCTCACTCACTCACTCTCAAATAAATAAATAATCTTTAAAAAAAAAAAAAAGACTTGGGGCACCTGGGTGGCTCAGTCATTAAGCGTCTGCCTTCGGCTCAGGTCATGGTCCCAGGGTCCTGGGATCAAGCTCCGCATCGGGCTCCCTGCTCAGCGGGAAGCCTGCTTCTCCCTCTCCCACTCCCCCTGCTTGTGTTCCCTCTCTCGCTGTGTCTCTCTCTGTCAAAATAAATAAAATCTTTAAAAAAAAAAAAAAAAAGACTCTTAAATCAGCAAGCATTTAAACACATTAGTGTATGCTCATACCAGCAAAATGTAATACACTAAAGTGGAAAGATACTGAAAGTCAGATTATATTATTCCTCATATGAGCAGACTGCATTTGAGACACCTTGAATATGTAAAGACCCTCTTAGGGCATTGAACTGTATTGCTATATAGTTAGATTAATCCAATTTCATTTAGCCTGGTAAGTAAGAACAGTCTTTCCCAACAAAGGGAATTTCAAAGTCTAGCAAAAGTTTTAATGCCTTTTTCATTTTAATACATATTTCTAAATGATCTGAATAACAATGGTTAACATGATCACAGTCAAATTTAGTGTTACATCACAACTGCTAGTTAATATAATAATTAAACATTCATGAATGCCAAATACTTTTAAATACTTTACATCTTGTTTTATATACTACAAAATAAGATCATACTAACTACAACTGAAATATTTATTTAAAGAAATGTTCTTACCAAATACCCATAAGGTGAATTGAGGTAGCATCTTTTGGGTTCAGTTCAATTGCTTTCTAACAAGAAATGAGAAAGTCAATCATATTTGTTTTCTAAACACAAGTAAGTACTATGTTTGATGAAAACAAAAGTCATGATTTAAAAAAAACATTTTGGTGGGGTGCCTGGGTGGCTCAGTCATTAGGCGTCTGCCTTCAGCTCAGGTCATGATCCCAGGGTCCTGGGATCGAGCCCCACATCGGGCTCCCTGCTCAGCCAGGATCTGCTTCTCCCTCTCCCACTCCCCCTGCTTGTGTTCCCTCTCTCGCTGTGTCTCTCTCTGTCAAATAAATAAAATCTTTAAAAAAAAAAAAAAAATTTTTTTTTTTTTGGCAACCTGGCATTTCAATTGTTCTATGGTAATACCAACTTTTTTCCCCTCTTCATTCTTCAATGTGGTTAAATTCATTTCAATACACTGTTAATGACTTGTATTAAACTCTATTTATATAAAGTTCAGCAACTAACAGGATTTATCAATATGAGAAAAAACATGAAATTTGTAAATGAATCTAATTTTGAAAACAGTAATCTATAGTTCTCAATGTTTCTTCTAAATTAGGAGGTTCTTTTTGGCAAGTTCTATATGAATACTGGATTAAATAGTATTCTTTCCTAAAAGGAGATCAAAGTACTTAATACTTTTACAAAGTTTCTTCCTGTATGTACATTTCATTCAACTTCACCATCTATACTTACAAAGGAAAAATAAATAATACTTATTCACAGAATGTATTAGTAAAATAATATGTACAATGTAAAATACATTGATAAAGTCTCCCTAATTTCTATTTACTATATGAAAGTCCTATGTGAATTAATGTAAAGCATAAACTACAGAACAACCTTAAAGCAACTATTTTTCCTTTTATCCATTATTTTGTCGAAAGCCACTGAGAAAAATCTCAGATGAATGTTAATCCTATTAAAAATAAAAGACCCTTTTAAAAAAATTGAGACCTCCTATCTTACGTTTTTCTTAAAGCCCACATCTTCACTTTCTGTCAGTAATGTGTGAGATACACATTTTAAAATATTTGGATTGGTTACCAGTATGGGCTCTGAAGCCAGACTACCAGGGTTCAAGTCACAGCTCCAAGTTTTTACCTTGGCAAGTTCTCTCTTCTTGCCATGCCTGAGTTTGTTGTTTTATAGAATCGGTAAGAGTAATATACCTACATAATAGAGTTGTGGTAAAAATTAAATGAGTAAGTAACAGGAGGTATTTAACACAGTAATATCTTCTATAACCAGCATAATTTTACTTTCCAAAGTACCAATTTATTACTGACGCTGATTTAATGTTAGCAGTAGTAGAGGTAATAGCTAGAATAAGGCTAATAACCAAGTATGACTTAGCAGAAATCTTGCTTCATTAATATGAGTAAGAATCAGCACTGACTTTTTTTTACTTTTCCATTAAATAGTGATATGATTTATAGCAAAATATGTTTTAAAGTATACACAACTTATACACTAAGCAACCTTTCCTAATTGGAGTTCCACTAGAAAATTAAACCCTACAAAAAATTATATGAATAACTGTTTTCTCCAATCTATCAAGGTATAGATTGGTATAGAGCTAGTATCATTCTAGATGCAAGGGAGAGAAGTTAATTCATAACATGCAATGGATACTTTAGGGAATTTAATTTTCTTATGGAATGGGTTGAGAGGGGCTGCTCTCAAGCAAACCCTTTCTTTTATAATTCTTGCCATTAGTTTAAGTGTTTTCAAAAACAATCCAAAGATAGGGGCACCTGGCTGGCTCAGTCGGTGAACCATGCTTGAGCCCCATGTTGGGTGTAGAGATTATTTAAAATCTTAAAAACAACAACAATCCAAAAATAGTAATTCCTTATGGCTTTAGATATAATAGTGGAATTAGGAATAACAGTACAAATGATCTTTTTAGTATGTAAATACTAAATATCATTTTTAATGTATACTTAACACACTTTGAAATCTGTAAAACATCGATTTTTTTAAAGATTTTATTTATTCATTTGACAGAGAGAGCATAAGCAGGGGGAGCAGCAGACAGAACGAGAAGCAGACTCCCTGCTGAGCAGAGAGCCCAATGTGGGGCTCGATCCCAGGGCCCTGGGATCATGACCTGAGCCAAAGGCAGACACTTAATGGACTGAGCCACCCAGGTGCCCGAAAACACTGGTTTTTAAAAAATAATCTATAACCTCTGTTTCCATTAATATATTTCTGTAATTTTTCATGATTTATATTGGAAGATATTTGTCATATATTTCTACATACTATGGTACAGAATAACTTAGGTGATTTATTTAATGCCACTGAGCAAATTATGACATTTCACAGAATCCAAGATAACCATGAAAGTTACTACACATCATTATTATATCTATCATTGAAAAGAAAAAAGCATTGCCTATTAAAAGATACCACTGATTATATAATGCAATCTGATTTCAAGAAAGGTCTTAAAATGTGAAAAATGTTGCATATTATTAAATTGAAAATATATATGTACATGCAGCATACACACGTATACGTGTGTGTGTGTGTGTGTGTGTATGTATACTACTGATGCCAAAATAAAAGCTAGGTCTCCTGACTCCCAGTCCAGTGTTCTTTTCTATTACCCATTGTGTAAAATAAGAATTGAGACTATAATCATAAAATTCAGAAAAGCTATTAGACAGTTTATCTAGCATTCTTCCTATGAATGTTTCCATTACATTCTCTTCTTCTGTATTTTTGAGATGGTCTACAATACCAAAAGAGAAATAAATATGCTGAATTTTTAGTGGCAGTTTTTCGGGAGTTTTTGTTTAGTTTTGTTTAGGACAATGAGGTAGTGTATATGGCACATCATGAAATATACAAACTCCTGGAGAATATCTGGCATCTAAGGAAGAGCTTACTATAAAAGAAGTAACTTTAGGGGCGCCTGGGTGGCTCAGTCGTAGCGCATCTCCCTTCAGCTCAGGTCACGATCCCAGAGTCCTGGGATCGAGCCCCACATCAGGCTCCCTGCTCAGCGGGGAGCCTGCTTCTCCCTCTTCCACTCCCCCCTGCTTGTGTTCCCTCTCTTGCTGTGTGTCTCTCTCTCTTTCAAATAAACAAATAAAATCTTAAAAAAAAGAAAAAAAGTAACTTTAGGGGAAAATATGAAAACACAAAATACACAGAGATAATAATTGTAAATAGTACGATTATTATTGGGAGTGGTTTGTCAATTGTGTTAGATTTTACACCAGACCACAACTCAGGGTATTCAGGACCTTGTAAAGTTCCCTCCCACATACTCTGGTCTTGGCTACATGACTTGTTTAGGTCCACAGGATATTACCAAGTGTGATGCAAAACAGAAAGAAGCTTGATAAAAGTTTGCGCACTGGAATTTTATCTTGGAATGTTCATTCCTGGAAGCCAGCTACCATGCTGTAAAGAAGCATGGGCTAGACTACTAAATAATGCAAAGAAAAGTGGAGAGAAACCGTCATGTAAGAGGCCATCTTGTACATTCTGTTCTAGCTGAAGTCAGAGGTGAAGGCAGCAGTATGAATGACTTCAGCTACACCAAACAGATCATCAGAAGCACCACTACATAGTTAACCCACAAAATTTTGAGAAATAAGCTGTCACTGCATTAGACCTCTAAGTTTTAGGTGGTTTGCTCTACAGCAATAGATAAGTGGAACAGAAATTTATTTAAAAAACTAATTCCTTTTAAAATTCAACAGTACCTCAAAATGCTCCTTGATAATGTAGGCATTTGCAATTTTAGCCTTGATGCCTTCATAATCTCCAACATCACTAATACAGATTGCATACCACTAAAAACAGAAGTAAAAAACATGTAAGAATAATAATACTCTACTAAGGTTCCATTCAATACAAGGTAAAACTGAGTATTTATTCCTCAATAGTCATTCTCATTCAACAAAAACTTAGCATAAAAACTGTATTAAATATACTGTCATATAAAAGAAAAGTAGACATGGACCTTAAAGAATTCAAGGACACGTTTATAGAAAACTGTAATACAAGATAAAGAACAGAGTCTCTAAGGAAGTTATCAGCACAACGGGGAAATAATGATTCGTGTTTATGATGAGTATAAATTTAGAAACTGAATAACTATCATTTTATTTTCTCATCCTCTTTTCAGCAAGCTGCCTCTTCTCCCATCTGCACTGTTACAGTAATAAGCCACATTTGTCGATTGTGACTTTGTCCCTGTAGCCATAGTTGAGACAATACACCTAAACTGAGACTGAGTTTCATCCCAAAGGACTAAATCCAAAAATATCCAAGCTTCATAAACTCAAGTTCTGTAGAAAGTCACAAGACTTAGAATGAGAAAAAAATAGTCTGTAGAGAAAAAGATTTGCAGGTAACAGCAAAGAGGAAAGACAATGGAACATCAGAGCAATCGAGCCAGTTTTTCCTGAACCAAAAGCACCCTGCCTTTAGGTTCTATGAAAGACAGTAAGTAGTTCCTTATAAACAAAACAAAACAAAACAAAAAAACACCTCCCGTTTTTGTTTGAGCTTATTTGTGTGGGGTTTTAATGATTATAACCAGAAAGATTTTAACTAAAACAAACTTCTGTTTAAATCTATTCTCCACCAAAGGGGCGCCTGGGTGGCTCAGATGGTTAAGCGTCTGCCTTCAGCTCAGGTCATGATCCTGGAGTCCCGGGATCGAGTCCCGCTTTGGGCTCCCTGCTAGGTGGGGAGCCTGCTTCTCCCTCTGCCTCTGCCTCTCTCTCTCTCTCTCTGACTCTCATGAATAAATAAATAAAAAAACATTTAAAAAAATAAAATAGGGCGCCTGGGTGGCTCAGTCGTTAAGCGTCTGCCTTCAGCTCAGGTCATGGTCCCAGGGTCCTGGGATCGAGTCCCACATCGGGCTCCCTGCTCCACGGGAAGCCTGCTTCTCCCTCTCCCACTCCCCCTGCTTCTGTTCCTGCTCTCGCTATCTCTCTCTCTGTCAAATAAATAAATAAAATCTTTAAAAAATAAATAAATAAATAAATAAAATAAAAAAATAAAAAAAAATAAAATAAATAAAATAAATCTATTCTCCACCAAAATTTTGATGAGTTTATTAAAAATTAAAAAGTGTACCTTAAAACACACATACGTGCATAGGTGCACACACACACACACACCCCCTCTATAGGTGATGTGCACTTATCTCCACTGAGAGTTATCCAGTTGCCCAAATCCAAATGACTAGAGGGGTCACACAGGGTTTCAAATTTGGTGTTCTGATCTTCTACCACATATCAGGACTCTGGATAACATCACTTTTCTCTTATATATCTATCTTCTATATGCAAAGCAAACACAAGCTTATGGATGAATCCTAAACATTTTCTTCCCTGATTAGACTGGCAGTATTCTGAGATTTTTAACAATATGTCAAAGACGTATCACAGTAACAGCACAAAGAGCAGTCATTAACACATGAAGTATATATCGCTTGATGTGGACTATAAGTTAAAGATGTACGCTATAAAACTTAAAGCAACCACTAAAACAACATAATACAATTACAGTCACTCAAATAAATAAAATGGAATCTAAAAAATGACCAATACAAAAGAAGGCAGAAAAAGAAGAAAATGAGAACAGATGGAACAAATAGAAAATAGAAAGATAGGAAATTTAAAACCAAAAATATCATTAATCACATTAAATGTAAATGGTCCAAACACCCCAACTGAAAGCCAAATTGGATTAAAATTAAGACAGACTGACAGTGACGTAAGTGAAAACGGCAAGTAAAGAAATCTGAATTCTCTCCTCCATAAAAGCAATAAATAAAAATGAGCAACAATTATTAGAATCAATGTTTTTTTGGAACTCCAAAATTAACCTAAAGCTTGCAGTGACCTGGGAATGCTTATTCAAAGCAAGAGATTATTCCTAATGAGAACAGTGAACTTTGTGCTGTTTTATCCTACTCCAGTCCCTTCCCATACTCCCAGTCTCAGTGGGAGCTGTGAAAACAGCCCACCATTCCTGGTACCAAATGGAACAGATCTCATTCATGGAGAGCTATAATTAATTATTTGTCCTGATCTGTTTGGTGGCTCCCTGGAAGACTGGCCTTGTACATATTTCACCTAAACTGAAAAGGCCCTAGTGATAAAGGATAAAGCTGCTTCCTAGGGGCGGTGGGGAGGAAGGTTAGGTAGAGATGTCCCTAAGGGCTCTGAAAAGCTTCAGTAAAGAAAAGCCAAAAGAATATTTCATGACATATGAAAATTATATTCAATTCAAATTTCAGTGCCCACAAATAATGCTTTACTAGAACAACAGTCATGCTCATCACTTATGCATTGACTATGACTGCTTTTGCTCAACATGGCAGAGGTGAATTGTGATGAGAGATCATATGATATATATATTTTTTTAAGATTTTATTTATTTATTTGTCAGAAAGATAGAGAGCACAAGCAGGGGGAGTGGCAGAGGGAGAGGGAGAAGCAGGCTCCCCACTGAGCAGGGAGACCAATGTGGGACTCGATCTCAGGACCCTGGGATCATGACCTGAGCCGAAGGCAGTCGCTTAACACTGAGCCACCTAGGCGCCCCATCATATGTGGTATTTTAACGGATTCCCACTGCTGCTCCATAACCCTGTGAATCACACTGATAGGGTTATAACCTGACAGAATTTTGAGTGCCACGCATACTGCCATACCATGACATTTTATTTTTTATTACCAATGCATATGTCAAAGGAAGATAAAATGGACTTCAAATGTCATGCTTTGAAAGCATAGTGAAATGTGAATTATTTTGTTACTGAATTAAATAGCAAAGCATTTTGGGGGGAAAAAAAGCTCCAAAATATCCCTGAAAATCCAAAAAGGACACACATCCTTAGGAAAGATCTGAGATGGCCCTAAGCTTACCACCTGCTGACCTTAAGGCTCTTCATAAACAGGAATTGAAAGCTAGGTACAGTTTAAAACTGCCCAGCTAAGTGTTAAAGGTATGTCCCAATACCTACACAGAGCCCTATGATCAACACTGGAAAACATTTGGGTTCCAGACATTTTATAAACTACCTGTTCAATCATTAACTGACCACTAAGCTAACAGAAGAGAGACTTCAGTGGCTATATATGACAAAGAAATCATTTGTTCAGAAAAGCCACTAAAGAAAAATAACAGAGGAGGCCTGGCTGGCTCAGTCAGTAGAGCATGTGACTCTTGATCTCAAGGTTGTGAGTTTGAGCCCCACATTGGATGCAGAGATTACTTAAAAATAAAATCTTAAAAAAGAAAAAAGAAAGAAATAACAAATACTAAAAGCCGCCACAACAAATTCTGGGAAAAGAGGGAATCTGATTTCCAGATTTACCACATTATAATAGTCAACAGTTTCAACAAAAAATTATAAAGCATGCAAAAATTAAAGTATAACCCACACACAGGAGGAAAAAAATCAACAGTAGGTTAAGTGTCTGCCTTTGGCTCAGGTCATGATCCCAGAGTCCTGGGATTGAGTTCCTCATCGGGTTCCCTGCTCTGCAGGGAGTCTCCTTTTCCCTCTGCCTCTGCCTCTCTCTCTGTCTCTCATGAATAAATAAAATCTTTAAAAAAAAAAAGAATAAACAAAAAATCTGACAAATGAATAATAAGTAATACTACAGAGTTAGTAATCAAAAGAACTTCCAACAAAGCGAACACCAGGATCAGATGACTTCACTGACAAATTCTACCAAATGTTTAAAGAAAATTAACACCAAGCTTCTCTAAAGTCTTCCAAAAAATAGAAAAACAATGAACATTTCTTAAGTATTCTATGACACCAGTGTTACTCTGATACCAAAACCATCACAAAACATCACAACAAAAGAAACCTAATAAAGTTGCAAAAACTCTCAATAAAATACTAATAGATCGAATTCAGCAGAACATTAAAAGGAATAATTCACCACAATCAAGTGGGATTTATCCCTGGAATGCAAGAATAATTCAACATACATGCATCAATCAATATGATGCATCACATTAATAGAAAAAAAGAATCATATGATCATTTTAATAGATACAGAAAAACATATGACAAAACTTGACATCCATTCATAAGAACTCCCAACAAGCTGAATTAGAGATAGAAGGAATATCTCAACATAATAAAGACCATATGTGATAAATCCACAGCTAGCATCATACTCAATGATGAAAAGTTGAAAAACTTCCTCTAAGACCAAGAACAAGACAAGGGTGCTCACTCTTACCACTCCTATTCATCACAGTACTTGAAGTCCTACCTAGAGCAATCAGGCAAGAAAAAAAAAAAAAAGTTATCAGATTTGGAAAGGAAGAGGTAAAAATATCTCTATTTGCACGTGACATGATCTTATATATAAAAGTCCAAAAGACTCAACAAAAAAAAAGCTATTTGATCTAATCACTGAATTCAGTAAAGTTATAGGATATAAAATTAACATGCAAATATCAGTAGCAATTCTATAACCTAACAACAAATTTTCTAAAAAAGAAATAGTTCTCATTACAAGAGGATCAAAATCGAATAGGAATAAACTTACATAAGAAGATCTCTACTCTGAAAACTGCAAGATAACAACCAAAGAAATCAAATATAAATAAATGGAAAGATAACCCACGTTCATGCAATGGAAGAATATTGTTAAAACAGCAATACGACCAAAAGCCATCTATAGAGTCAATGCAATCCCTATCAAGATACCAATGGCATTTTTTACAGAAGTAGAAAAAAACACACCTAAAACTTAGAGGGAAGCACAAAAGACCCAAAATAGCCAAAGAAATCCTGAGAAAAAAG